GATGTATTTTTTGAGAATTTTTTCTTGTGAATCATCTTACTTTTGATTAATCTAATGATTCATTTTGATGGTTCGCTAAAAGAATATGCATATAAAAAATTTATTAACTTCCTACTAAAATTCCTTCTTATGTGATCTGGATTATATATATATATATATATATATATATATATATATATATATATATATATATTATATATATATATATATATATATATAACTGACAAAACTGAACAAAACCGATTATATTAAACTTTTAAAACGAATACTCCCTCCGTCCCAAAATTATAGTCTATCTTTCCTTTTTGGTTTGTCCCAAAATAATAGTCCACTTCTAAAAATAAATAACATTTTTACCTAAATATCCCCTCATTATTACTTAACCAACTAAGCATTTAATGGAACATTAAATGCAAAGTAAGGACAAAACTGTCATTTTATTAAATAAAGTTAGTAGTAATTAATGTTTTTCTTAATATGTGTGTTTTTTGTCTGTGGACAATAATATTGGGACGGATGGAGTATATTTTATACATATGTTATATATAAATCAGAAAAATAAAGCATAGTTGTTTGGTTTGACTGGTAAAGCGCTTGTCTGGTGATCATTCGATGCGTCCACCATCTTAATTTTTTAATTTAATGGAGCTAAACTTGTCCCACATCGACGTTGTATGTAAACACCCTCCTAGGCCTCTACATAAAAAAATTCTCAAGGCTTAGGAAGATAGGTTGGGATTGGATTTGAGTTTAAACTCGAAACCAAACTAGAAGAAACTAAAAATTGACAGACCGAACCGATCAGTTTGGTTACTTGGTTCGGTTTGGAATAGTTGAAAATCGATGATATCGGTTTGGATTCGGTTTTGGGTCTAAACCCACGTATACTTAGCCCTACAAAAAATGCATCTTGACTTTTAGTGTTTTTTCGATGTTAACACCGACGATCGTCAGAAAGGGGGCTACATGTAGAATCCTTTAAATTGTTAATATGTCTCTCCTTTGAGAAGTAAGGGCGTTACTTTCCATTTATTTATTTATTATTTTTTTCAGTTATAATGATTTAAAATTATAAAAAAAGGATTACAAATTATTAAAAACGTAGATTTACATATGTAACATCCCAATAACCATAGTAATTTTTTTATATTTTTGAAAGACATTTTCTTAGAAATCATAAGTCACAAAACATTGTTTTACAACCATATCAAGATCAGAGTAAACAATATATGAGTATCTCTCGAAACATAAAACTACTAGATGATGTGTATAATCACGCATTGGCTTTTCCTTGATCATCTGAGGTACCTAAAACATTTAAATCAACAACTGTAAGCCAAAGTTTAGTGAATTTCCCAAAAATACCCCACACAACAATACACATACAATGCATGCACACATGAGCCTACAGTCTGGATCGCAAGGCCTACAGTACACCTGGACCGCTCTTCTGAGCCTATAACATATAGATGAACGACTCTGTTGGGCCTAACATCTGACTGGACCGCCTCGCAAGGCCTACAATATACCTGGACCGCCTGGGTATCTTGGCTTACAACACAAAGCAGGACCGCCTCAACCCAACCACAATATATCGACATATGCAAACAAACAACAACCAGCAAACACAGGTAATCATAACAGATCTACCAGTCTAACAAATCACTAAAACATATCAACATCCTAACACAAATGAAACATACCGCAATACAAAGTATAGTGAGAAAACTCACCTCGCAGTCTAGCAGATAAACTGTGCAGCTCACACGAATCCAATAACTGGAACTACGAGTCACCTATACAACAAATAGGGACCAATCCTCAATCTATAGCCCAAAAAACCTTAAGTTGTCCAAAAGTTAACTTGGTTAAAAAGACAACGGTCAACGATTAATAGCTAGCCACCACGTCGTGGCATCTCCACAACGAAACAGTCGCGACCAAACTAGTCACCACGTCGTGACAACAACCCAATAAATCAGTTGCGATAAACCCCTCCTCCACGGCGTGGTGAGTAAGATGTCATGCCGTGGGAACTGCTTTTGGATAACTTAATGGATTAAGCCCTTAATTTATTAAGCAATACCCCTATCTGTTCCAGAAAGCTTCCTAACGTCTATTAGGTTAAAAAGGGTGAAAATGAGGTCAAAACTTCATGCATGGAACGAAAACTCAACCACTATTTAGATCTGGAACACTAAACCTCAAAGGGACCTCAAGGATCCATAAAGTTGTTAACTTTATTTAATCCGTCCTCTCAAACTTTCCCAAACATGGAGAAAATGCATAAAAGCCTAAACCTATCATGTTTGAACACAAAAGGTGGAAGCTTCGGGACTTACAAGAGTCCAGAAACAGCACAAAATAATAAATAGATTTGCTTGCGGGAACAATGCACCAAAGATACATTCTTCTTCTTCAAATGACCAAAAAACGACAAAAAAAGCTTCAAAGCTCAACAATGGAGACTAGGGGTTGACCTAGGTCAAGAGGGAGTGATGGAGGTTGAGGGTGAGCCAACCCGAGCCATTACATCCCTTAAATAGGGACACAAACCCCATAAATTAGGGTTTAACATAAAACGGCTGCCACACCGTGGCCAGAACCTTACCACGCCATGGCGCACACCAAAATACGCGTTTCTTAACAGGTGAGGTGACGCCGTGGTACCTTCCCCCACCATGTCGTGGCCAACCAAGACTCTATATTTTATTTAGTCTTAAATGCCAAAAAACACAAAGAGAAATATATATCTTGAACTGGTGTTATAAACATATTTAGGCAAATCTGATATTTTAAAACATTAAAAAGGTAAATATTATATTTAGATATTCGGTTGGACAAATATTATATTTGACATTTAACAAAGATATATATGAAATTCAGTCATGGTGCCATTTTTTATTGACATTATATAAAACGAATTAAAAATAAATCATGGTGGAATTTGTTTGATTATGGAGATCTCACAATATGTATTTTTAATATAAACAGAGAGGAAATGAATTTGAATTCTTTGGACTTACCACAAAAAAATGATAAATTCCTTGAATCGTATATATTAATGAAAATTTACCGAAATCAAATTTCATTCATTTTTGTCTATCAACAACTTTTTCAAAGGAAATCTTCCTTTCAATTTCTTAGGATTCCACTGAAGGGATAATGGGGTAATATATTTTTCACATTTGGTCATTGAGTTTTTTTTTTCATCCACATTTACCCTTCAACTTGTTAAACTGTACACATTCAGTCCTTATGATCGGTCACTCCAGGTTAGCCGGAAAAAATGACTTAATAGGGTAATATATTTCTCATTTTGTACACATTTAGTCCTTAATATTTTTTTGTTTCACAATAATTCATATTTGTTTTTGTACTCATTTAGTACTTATGAATGTGGGACAATCATTGATGAAGTGTGTTGGGCTGTAGATGTTTATGCGTAACGTCTCATTTTCACAAATGGAACTCGAATCAGATCAAAACATGATTTTTGTTTAAGAACACACATCGTTCAAGAACAAACACACGATTTTTGTTCAAGAACACACACATCGATTTTCAGATCTTCAGATATATTCATTCGATTTTCAGATCTTCATATATCTTCATTCGATTTTCAAGAATACATACCCAAATCTTATGTGTGTGTGTGTGTTATTGTGTTTATTATTTAAAAATCGAAATCTAAAATGATGAACACGAACACACACTTAGAAAAAAGATAAACATGAACACACACTAAAAAATCTTCGATTTCCTTTATTGAAATTAAGTTTGCTCTTCAAAAATCGAACATAAAATCGTTTTTGGGGTTTTATTCTTCAAAAAACTAAAGCTTTGGTCAAGAAATCGGTTCAGATTTGCTTATAAATTCATTATTAAGAAAAAACGTTTATTCCAAAATACATTTATCAAAAAATCAGAGTAATATAAGAAATGTGGAATCCTCAATATTGTTGATGAGTGTGTAAAGTCATGCATTCGCCTTCCCACGATCAACGATAAAACCTGAATACATAAACAACTGGGTAAACACAAAGTTTAGTGATGTTCCTCTAAAATACCCAATACAACAAACGTATTATCATGCATAACGGGCCCACACTCATCAGATTGGAATACATTGGTCTAATCAGTCATCAGACTGGAATATCTAGGGTTTGTCGGCATGCCGCCTTAACCCAACCGCTCTTCTCAAGCCTCCGTTCATACGGCTTACAGACGGCCCGCACTAGGTATCTTGGCCTACAGCATATAGCAGGACCACATCAACCTATCCCACCACGATATGACTATCCCACGTAAGATGTGGCGAGAAAAACGTAAATAAATCATTCATAAGTACTGAATGAGTATAAAAACAAAAATGATTTATTTTGCAACAAAAAAAATTAAAGACTAAATGTGTACAAAAATATTAAGGACTAAATGTGTACAAAGTGAGAAATATATTACCATATTAAGTTATTTTTACCGGTTAACCTGTAGTAGCCGGTCATAATGACTAAATATGTAAAATTTAACAAGTTGAATGGGTAAATATGGACGAAAAAAAATTAATAACTAAATGTGAACAAATCAAATAATATATTACCCTTTTAAGTCATTATCTCTCCCACTAAATACACCAAATCAAATAGGCCCTCTTTTTGTTTCATTATTTATTTTGTAAGAATTCATTCCAAAAGTCCATTATTCGATAGTGATAAAAGTTTGTTCTTGATTATGATTCAGCTATAACAAATTATATTTACAAATGATATGTGGAAATAATACTAACTCTAATATTAATTGCCTGTAATTTATTATTCTGTTGTGGTAGTCCTTTTTTGTTATTTCATCGTCATCCATTAAATTTTTTTTTTTGAACCATCATCCGTTAGTGGTTATAAGTTTTTCCTGATCAAATTCAAAATCGCAACTAAACCAATAAATAACAAATTTTCACTAAAGAAGAAAATAACAATCAAAACAAACGTTTGATGAACAATTAATTATGATTCAGCATGAGACGACTGATATTCCTCTGTTACGAAACAATTTATATCTAGGAATCGGGCCATCAACATCTCCTTCATCTCTGTCCACTCCTTAATCGGTTGTTTATTGAATCGCCTGTTTAGATTTTGGATTAGTTCCCACCATGAGAAAGCCTGTTCTTCCAATCTGTAGGCTACGAATTCTACTTGTTCATCCTCCGGGATTTCATAAAACTCAAAAAACCTTTCGACTTCCGTTACCCACTCACTAAATTCATCAAAACTAAGATTCTTTTTAAAAAGAGGTATTAGATCTACCTTTGAGAGATGTTGATTTTGTCTAGTTACAAGGCAAAAACCCCATTCACACTCTTCATCTGAAGAAGTCTCACCTGCGTCATTTAGTTGATCTAGTTGCGGTGGAGGTTGATGGTGGTACGGCGGTGGTTGTTGCTTGTAGTATTGTGGTGGTGATGCAGAGAACCTTTCAAACTCAGAATCACTCCATTCATATTGATTTTGTCGAAACTTTTGCAACTCCGCCTCCATACGTTCTACACAATTGATCAGATCTTCGAGGATGTTTGCATTGGATTCAGTCAGCCTGAGAAGTTTATTTATTTGACGGTGGTTGTAGTTGTTGCCCATCGTAGCCAAAGAATTGCTATACCTTTGAAAACTAAACCAATGTCATTATATATATATATATATATATATATATATATATATATATATATATATATATATATATATATATATATATATATATATAAGGAGAATCCCATAAAAGAGTCCTTCATCAAGTAAAACACAATAAAAAAGAAAGTTGATACCAAATAGGAAACCGATTCAAATTCAAATAGAGTCAGTTTCTCAAAATAAGATTTATCTTTATCTCCACCCTTCACCCTTCATTTGCATGTCACGTTTTTTACCCATTTATTTTTTAATTGGTCAACCATTTGCTCTTTATATTATCATTTGAAAATTATTTTAGATTAATTATTTATTTATACAATAATATTTGTATATATCTTTTAACTTATCTGAAAACTATTTAGGTTAATTATTTATATATACAATAATATTTATATATTTTTTTCAGGTTATCGCGTTTTAGAATATAACCAAATGGTGCAACATGCATGTTAACATTAAAAGATCAAATATGTAAATTAGAATTAATTAGTTATAAACGTGAAGCAACGTTAGCAAGTAACAAGGAAAGATGGTGTGACTTGTGAGCCATGTGTACAATAACCTCATCCCAGCTTTTCCATCTCCAAATGAACTCCTTTTTTTTCTTTATATGGTTTAATATTCGGTTATTCTTGTGGAACTTTTTATGTTAATCGCACTTATGTTACTAGTTAGAAGCACTCGAATGTCCAAATGCTTATGGTTTGCCGATTTGGTGTTGGGTTAGCAAAAAAAATTATACTAAGAAGGTAGGAACAAGTTCAATCCATTCTCACGATCATATTGGGAGGTAAAGCTGTAAACGGACAACACACACACACACACACAGAGAGAGAGAGAGAGAGAGAGAGAGAGAGAGAGAGAGAGAGAGAGAGAGAGAGAGAGAGAGAGAGAGAGAGAGAGAGAGAGAGAGAGAGAGAGAGAGAGAGACTATATCATTTATCGCTAAGAACATATATGATATATACCTACAAAAGGGGTGGAAAAAGGGGATCGAGTGTGAAGGTTTGTTCGAAATAAAAAGAGACAAACAACTAGGACGGTTGTTGGTGTTTAGCTAGAAAAACACACAAACAAATATTATTGGTGAGGGCAATCAGGCTGCTGGTAACTAGGGTTGTGTATGGACTATTGGTGAGGGTAATCTCGCTACTGATAACTAGGGGTGTGTATTAGGCAGTTTGATTCTGTTTTTACTTAAAACCGAACCATAATCATTATAAGTGGTTAATGCATTTCGATAGCCATTGAGTATTGTTAATATTGGTTTTGGTTAACGGTTTAGTTAGTTAATGATTAATATTTGTTAACCATAATGATTGAAAATAAGATAAAAATAAAAAATACTTTGCTATAAAAACTGAAATAAAGTACATTGTTAAAAAAATGAACGATTCGGTGTTTATAACCTTATTAATATGATAGAAGATTAGGCATCCTATTTAATTCCAAATAATTATCTTTTAATTTTTTAATTCCAAATATAATTACATACCATATATAGAATATTATATTATATTAAAAACATTTATTAATATTATTGGTTTGGTTCGGTTTTAGTGGTTCGGTTTTGATTGAAAACCATAACCGAATCATACATATTTGGGTAATCAAAAATAGAAATTGCACCACCATTTTCAGTAATGGTTTGGTTATTTCGGTGAATGTGGTTGTGGTTCGGTTTTTCGGTTAACATGATCACCTCTACCGGTAACGTAATGTTCCCAATCACATGCAGAACCCATTTTTAGGATTGACGACACATAACATATAAGTGGACTCTACTACATTACCTCAATATTCATTAAGCATATACATTTATGCTTAAAAGATCAAAAAAAAAAAAAAGGATAAAGAACTTTGAGAGAAGAAAAAAAATGTAAACTAGAAGTTTACATTTGGTAGGGAAAACGAAAAAAATTTCAAAGAAAAACGCAGGTTAATTACAACATTATTTATAAAGTTGTTCCCTTGTTTTTACGCCGCTACTGTCTCAAAGCTAAAGACCTTTTTTACTCTACGAATTTTAATAAATTAAATGCTAAATTCAACAAACTACTTAGCATAAAAATATGCATTACAATTAACAACTCCTCTTAACATTTTCTACTTCAGTATGATGGAAGCTTCATACTAAGAATCAAACGTCATTCGTCAAGAATCAAAATCGATCTGATACAACTTGTCAAGTTCTAATACCACTTGCTAGGAAATAAAGTAGATAACTCACGAAACCGCACACTTAAAGATACATACATACATACATACATACATACACACTTAAAAATTAGTAAATATTTACACGATACTCTTATTAAACATGTTAAAATCCTAATTTTTTGTGTTTTTGGTATGAAAAGAGCAAACTTATAATTTTTACAGTCTAATATTTTCATCCATGTATGCTCTCATATTTTAACACAAAACTTATATAAAATACAGATTTTACATAGTCCATTTACAGTTTAATGCAAAAAATTCACAACATAATACAAACTGTTTTACAATAATTCACTAATTCAAAGAAGTCAAAAACTCAAACTCTACCCCATATATATATATATATATATATATATATATATATATATATATATATATATAAAAGTGAATATGTGGTTGTCATGTATGTAATATTAGGTATAGAACCATCAAAATTGACTTCATTTTGATTAAAAAAAACACAATTTTTTTATCGTTCGTTTCTTTCTATTGCTTTTGAGCTTATATTATTTCTTATTTAGTAATTTATCCCTAACATCTATGTATTTCGAATGTGTTGTTTATATTAGACCTCTAGTAGGCTTCATAACTTTCTTTGACACCTACTATATGTACACTTGCATGGTTCTTTTTGATGTGTTATGGGAAGGCGTTTATTGGGTTTTTAATGAACAATTTCAATTTTTCACTATAGTTTTCTATATTAAATTTGAATATAAAGGCTTATTAGTAGTTGATAATGTATTCTTATACATGGTTTGTGGTGCAAAATTAAATATTTAAAACTCCAAAAAAAATATGTACAAATCCTATCATCTAGTCTAATAGAGGATACACAAAAGATGGTAGAGAGATTTGATTGCATTTAGTTAAAACTATTTAGTTTTTGATGGTTCTATACCTAATGTTAGGTACATAACAGCCACATATTCCCTAACCCCATATACATATATATATATATATATATATATATTTATAGTTCGCTCAAGATGACCTATATCAATAGCCAGTATGTAATATTCTTATTGAAGAGTTGTTAAATGGATATTACAAGTACAATTAAATAGAGATTGCTTCATACTTACTAACCATTCTTCATATTGTTTGTTTAACTAAACAAACGTAAAATATAAATAATGGTTGTTTATTTATAAATAAACGAACGTTACAGTGTATAGTTCGTAAAACATTTGGTTTGTTTATAATCCTATATTTTATAATAAACTATAATATATTGATAAGATATAATTTGAAAGTATATATGAGAAAAAACATAGCGTATAAGTATTATTTTGAAAATGCATTCTAATGCATATTTTATATACTAGCTTTTAATTTATATATAACGTATCAAATCTAAATCAGTTTAAAACACAATTAGACAGTGTAGCTAGTTGCGAAATAATATAGTTTTAGGTAAAAAGACTTGTCGTACACTTTAGGAACGAGATTATTTAAGATTAAAAATATCTACTAAAAGCTAAATAATTAACTAAAGTAAAAGTAGGTTTTTTTTTTCTTTTGATTTTGCAAGTTCAGAAAACTTATCAACATTCAATTTTGAATAACTTGAAAACGAACAATTACTTATACTAAAAACCAGACATATAACAATATTGAAACAAGATTTTAAGAGTATTTTCGTTTAGATTCGATTCACATATTCCTTGTGGTTGATTTTATGGATAGTGCAAGGAATTTAATTTCGTCGATTGTCGATTCCTAATATGACTAGTATAATGATCAAATTGCTAATCATTTGATTTAATAAAACCATCTAATCAGTGATCAAGTGGACAAATAATCAAATAAATCATTGTTTAGTACGAACTATACATGACTTGAATTCTAAATTGATATTAATTATAGTAAATACCAGTTATATATACATGAGTGTTCATCATATATTATCTAACATATCAAAGTTACCAACTTTTCTAATTAACCTCGGTTTTTGGTTTGAACCCTCGTCATACAATTCCATAGTTTATAAAATCATACGATTCAAGCACATTAAGATAGATTGATCATCTAAACCTAATAATACTCAACAATAAATAGAAAAGATTGAAACTTTAACAAACAAGGATCTTTATCAAGCAAGTATAATGAATAAACGACTAGATTAAATCTGAAATCTTCAAATCAACATATAGATTCAAGGTTTATCTACTTTAAATGAAAGCAAAGGGCTTATAGCCCATAACTACTGCATAAAAACAATTAAAACAAAGTAAACTTTGAAACACATGATTAAAACCAAGTAAACCGAATGTTTAATTGTGATTATGCTCTCAATCTCTTCGAATCTAGCTCTGCAATCGATCTCTAATCTCCAAAGGCTCTAAGAGGGCTCTTTGGTCGTCAATGGTCGAAAGTAACTTGTTGCATAAGTCAGAGAATGAAGAAAAAGCCAAAATTTGTAGTTGCATTAAAATGATCGCCACACCGTGGTAAATAGGGTACCACGTCGTTGCATCGACTCGTTTGCGTGCCCTCCAAGCATTTTGTTGTGTGGATCATCTGATATGTATATAGAGTAAAAACTCTCCACCACGAGATGGAAAGTGTGTGCCATGCCGTTGAACTTCAAAATCGTCCGGAATGTTGAGTTTTGTTGAATCAATCCAACAATCCTGCTTATAGCATCTAATTTCTGCTTCTTTTATCCTGAGTATGTTTTGGCTGCTACAAAACATAATTTAAACATAATAAGTACCTTCTACCTT